CTAAACTTGTTCACTGTCAGACTGAACTTGTTCACTGTCAGACTGAACTTGTTCACTGTCAGACTGAACTTGTTCACTGTCAGACTGAACTTGTTCACTGTCAGACTGAACTTGTTCACTGTCAGACTGGACTTGTTCACTGTCAGATCGAACTTGTTCACTGTCAGACTGAACTTGTTCACTGTCAGACTGAACTTGTTCACTGTCAGACTGAACTTGTTCACTGTCAGACTGAAATTGTTCACTGTCAGACTGAACTTGTTCACTGTCAGACTGAACTTGTTCATTGTCAGACTGAACTTGTTCACTGTCAGACTGAACTTGTTCACTGTCAGACTGAACTTGTTCACTGTCAGACTGAACTTGTTCACTGTCAGACTGAACTTGTTCACTGTCAGACTGAACTGGTTCAGGGACACGTTAGTAAACAAAGAGGAAGTAAGAGGGGGGCCTCGTAGCCTGGTGGATAGCGCGCAGGACTCGTAATTCTGTGGCGCGGGTTCGATTCCCGCACGAGGCAGAAACAAATGGGCAAAGTTTCTTTCACCCTGAATGCCCCTGTTACCTAGCAGTAAATAGGTACCTGGGTGTTAGTCAGCTGTCACGGGCTGCTTCCTGGGGGTGGAGGCCTGGTCGAGGACCGGGCCGCGGGGACACTAAAGCCCCGAAATCATCTCAAGATAACCTCAAGAAGTCGTCCACTGATATATAAAGGAGCTGGGAAGCTTTGCACTAAACTACTTACGATTGGAAAGCCGGGGCTGAGGATCTGGCGCTCGACCCGGCATTAAGTACATCTAAGCGAGTGCTCGCATATTGGGTTACATTAGCAGAGTGGTCTAACAGTCAAGTGGCTGGCAAGAAACACAGAGGTTACGGCGGCCTGTTTTCCCTAATTGATAATTATCTTCCAAGGACTGAAAGTCTTACCGCAGACAAACAAGTCTATTAAAACAAAAGATGAAAGCCTGATATAGCCCAAACTACCGCTCAAACGATGCCCCTTTTGAGGTTATCTTGAGGTGATTTCAGGGTTAAGCGTCCCCGCGGCCCTGTCCTCGATCAGGTCTCTACCCCCAGGAAGCAGCCCGTAGCAGCTGTCTAACTCCCAGGTGCCTATTTACTGCTAGGTAACAGGGGCACATCAGGGTGAAGGAAAAATTTTGCCCATTTGTCTCCGCCTCCACCGGGGATCGAACCCGGAACCTCAGGACTACGAATCCGAAGCGCTGTCCACCCAGATGTCAGGCGCCCTAGTGGAAGCTGCATTCCCAATCCCCCATTCAGACTTACCTGCAGCTGTGTGGCATCTGAATCTATTTCAGTGTAGTGTCAGACTGTTTTCCGGAGTAGTGGTAATCAGATACCAGGATAAGGTATCACTCCCGATCAGATGCCAGGTTAAGTCTGGAGACCAGATCATTAAATCAATTTTAATTGAAATGTGTGCGTCATTCATCCTGTGAGTGGACACACCGCCATAGTGACAGTATTGGGCAGCGTGACATCCTGTGAGTGGACACACCGCCATAGTGACAGTATTGGGCAGCACCACTCATCCTGTGAGTGGACACACCGCCATAGTGACAGTATTGGGCAGCGTCACTCATCCTGTGAGTGGACACACCGCCATAGTGACAGTATTGGGCAGCGCCACTCATCCTGTGAGTGGACACACCGCCATAGTGACAGTATTGGGCAGCGCCACTCATCCTGTGAGTGGACACACCGCCATAGTGACAGTATTGGGCAGCGCCAATCATCCTGTGAGTGGACACACCGCCATAGTGACAGTATTGACAGAAACTTTAGGACTCTTCCCTGGCTGGTTAGTACCCTAACAGCTCTCTTGATCTCAATGACTCTCGCAGGATTTTCTGCCCGATTTTTACTAAGACTTTGTAGCGCTGCTTTTGAGTCAGTGCAGATCACTGCACCATTAGTGTTTCGTTCAAGGAATCTTAACGGCATAACAATGGCAGTTAGCTCCGCTTGCGATGAAGAGGCATAGTTCTCAATACGTGCCCTTTCTTCACTTGCCTTTTGAAAGGCATTATTCCTTATTACAGTGTATGCTGCACCAGCCCTGCCATTGACAGGATTAGATGACCCATCAGTGTAGATTTGATCTAGTTTAATTCCGGCTTCTTTATAAATTTCCTCAAGATACCTGTGCCTCATTTCTTGTGGTATCATGTTGGACTTTTTTGTTGCCATTTCATTAATGATAATGGGTCATCCTCCCAGGGAGATAACCTCTCTACAGGCAGGAGCTCACGGGCTTGTTCAAGCAGGTGAAGTTCTTCGAGGTAGCAGACTGATCTGTGATGCCATTTTGGGCTTTTCCTGTAACACAGAACTCATTTTTTTCTTGGCAACATCATTGTAATGGGGATCTCTGGCTATCTTAATTGCATGCTCAACATTCAGCTCCTTAATTCTGCTTTTAACACTGGGGAGGGACAACTCCTCTCGTAGATTAGACGTTTGGCAGTTCTTGGGACTCTAAGAATGTTTGTCATAGCTTCATTTTGTCCATCAAAGAAAATGAATACCGCTTCCCACACCAGTCCCAGATTCATCCCAAACCGGACCCGCCCTCCCCCAGTAAGGGATACACACCCCACCTCTCACCAATCCCACTATCCCAGCCCTTCTCAACGTCAGACTACTCCCTCATCCAGTGAAGGGACCAGTCCAAACCAGACCCATCTCCCACGGTACATATTCCAGCCCCCCTCAACACACCCTCTTTCCCCCCTATTATACCCCCCTATTATACCCCACTCATATTCCCTCCTCCCCTAGTGTAGCTTATACGTCCCCAAGCCCCAGTAGACCCCAGACTGGGCCCACACAAGCCGCCATAAAGTCAGTCCGATCATATCCACATACTCAAGTGATTCACCCATGCGAGTATAATCCGAGTCTACGCTGGTCCATATGTTTATCCTCTGTTGATGGCCTCTGGCTGGGGCCATTGTGGGCCATGTGAGCAGATTATATCCTCGATAGGGGCCCAGGGAGGGCTGGGAAAGGGAGTAAATTATGGAGGGGGAGGTGGTAGGGACTGTGGTGAAGGGAACAGGGATAAAAACATGGGTTTGTAAGAGAAAGGGATGAGAGAGGGGGGGCCTGGTTGATGAATAGGGAGATGATCACATAGGCTGGAAAAGGTTCTCTCAGCTGGAAACAATGTGTCTGCCTCATTATATATTTATTGCTCTTTCCTTCTCGACTTGAGGCCTTTGTTATCAGTCGTTCTGTACAACAGCTCTTGTGTAAGTTGACACGGGTCGATGGTGATTACCAGTGCTTGTGTGTGTGTGTGTGTGTGTGTGTGTGTGTGTGTGTGTGTGTGTGTGTGTGTGTGTGTGTGTGTGTGTGTGTGTGTGTGTGTGTGTGTGTGTGTGTGTGTGTGTGTGTGTGTGTGTGTGTGTGTGTGTGTGTGTGTGTGTGTACTCACCTAGTTGTACTTGTGGGGGTTGAGCTTTGGCTCTCTGGTCCGTGTTTGATGCCTTACTCAAGTCTCTAAAGGTCGTTCTTATGTTGGACAACCTTGAATATGCCGCTGATGCTATCATCTTGATATGGGCTCCAGGGGATAAGTCTGGCGTGGTATCAACCCCCAGGTCTCTCTCTCTCTCTCTCTCTCTGATTCTTGAAGAATTTCATCTTCCAAATGATACCCTGTACCCGGCCTCCTGCTCCCTACACCTATCTTCATTACATTACAATTTTTTGGGTTAAACTCTAACAATCATTTGTTGGACCATTCCTTCAGTTTGTCCAGGTCTTCCTGAAGCCTCAAGCTGCCCTCCTCTGTCTTAATCCTTCCCATAATTTTGGTATCACGAGCAAACATTGAAAGGAATGAGTCTATACCCTCTGGAAGATCATTTACGAATATCAGATTATATCAGTATATGTATACTGAATATGTATATCAGTATATGTGTGAGTATGTGTGTGTGTGTACGTGTTTTTTTGAATTTATGCATGCATATACTAGCCCAGTCTGCCTCCACACACAAGAATAGCTGGAGCGACTCAAGCCAATACCCGTGACAATATCAGCAGAATAATCTCCAGATGGCCTGACAGTATACCAGTATCAGAGGCAAGGATCTGACGCTAGCTGACAGCGTTGCCATATCAGGACAAGGATCTGCCTGCTGTCAGGACCTGGGCAAAGGGGGGGAGGACAACGGCTGGGGCTTTCATGCGTGTCCTGACACCCCCTTCTCTCCCCCTCAACCCATCTAACGACCCTCCAACAGGGGCTAAAAACCAAGCTGCCACGAGGGGTTGGTGGTTGCTAAAACCGCACAAAAGGGGGAGCAGCTACACTTTCTCCTCCCCCACTGTGGGGAGGGGGGGAAAATTCCCCCTTCCCTCCTTTCACTAATGTGGGTCCCCCCCAACATTTCCCTACAACCAAACTTGTTCACCTCGGTTACCACAGAGTCCTTCCGTGTCGCCTCTACGACGTATTCACCAAGTACACGTGTCACGTCCAGTAGATGTGTCACGTTCAATGGACCGTCACGTCCAGTAGATGTGTCACGTCCAGTAGATGTGTCACGTTCAATGGACCGTCACGTCCAGTAGATGTGTCACGTCCAGTAGATGTGTCACGTTCAATGGACCGTCACGTCCAGTAGACGTGTCACGTTCAGTAGACGTGTCACGTCCAGTAGATGTGTCACGTTCAGTAGATGTGTCACGTCCAGTAGATGTGTCACGTTCAGTAGATGTGTCACGTTCAGTAGACGGTGTCACCCCGCCCGTGTCCATCCTCTACCCGTGACACAGGGCGCCGGTGACACGGAGGACTAATTGCCTTCATTAGCGAAGGTATCCAGTAATGACCAATTCTTTTTATGGACACGTGACTTTTGCCAACAGATATAAAGATTTTTGTTGATTTTTAACTCAGGCGCTGTTTTTTTTCTGTTTTTTTCTGTTTTTTTCTGTTTTTTTTCTGTTTTTTTCTGTTTTTTTTTCTGTTTTTTTTCTGTTTTTTTTCTGTTTTTTTTTCACCCGTTCAAGGCCAACAGTGTGTTGTATATAGTGTGAAGTGGTCGTTATGTTGTCTGTGGCATTGTTAGTGTTGTGTGTGGTGTTGCCCAACCACTTGGGCTGGACGGCAGAGCGACGGTAGAGCGTTATGCAGGTCGGCGTTCAAGCCTCGACCGTCCACAAGTGGTTGGGCACCATTCCTTCTCTCCCTTCGTCCCATCCGAATTTTAACCCCTAACCTAACCTAACCTAACCTAACCTAACCTTTCAAGGGCTTTATAGTCCTAATGGCTTGACGCTTTTTCCTGATAGTCTAGTCTCGTTCTCACATTAAATGTCTGATTTACGGAAAATTGTAGCCTTCGCTAGATTGTAAGTCTACAATGGATTATAAACCCCACCGTGGATTATAAACCCCACGGTGGATTATAAACCCCACGGTGGATTATAAACCCCACGGTGGATTATAAACCCCACGGTGGATTATAAACCCCACGGTGGATTATAAACCCCACGGTGGATTATAAACCCCACGGTGGATTATAAACCTCACGGTGGATTATAAATCCCACGGTGGATTAATTGTATTCATACGCTGGATTTCACAATACAGATTAAATCCTGGTAAGAAATCTAAGAGCAACAACAATGTAAGCTTTTATAGATTACGGAAATCTGCGTCAGTAAGGTCTCAATAGACCGTATGGTCTGAATGGACCGTAAGATCTCAATGGACCGTAAGATCTCAATGGACCGTATGGTCTCAATGGACCGTAAGATCTCAATGGACCGTATGGTCTCAATGGACCGTATGGTCTCAATGGACCGTATGGTCTTAATGGACCGTATGGTCTCAATGGACCGTATGGTCTCAATGGACCGTATGGTCTCAATGGACCGTATGGTCTCAATGGACCGTATGGTCTCAATGGACCGTAAGGTCTCAATGGACCGTATGGTCTCAATGGACCGTAAGGTCTCAATGGACCGTAAGGTCTCAATGGACCGTATGGTCTCAATGGACCATATGGTCTCAATGGACCGTATGGTCTGGTCGGGTAAGAAACGTTCTAAACTTACGCATTGATGCATTAAAATGATGCGTTCAAGAACATATGCTTTGGTATGCTACAGAAACGTCCGCACTATCATGCGTTTTTAAAGCTCTGAAAACCGGTTTTGGGTTGCCGCGGTGTGCGGTTTTCTACTTCCGTTAACCACACTCCCTCGTTCGAATCCAGGGGACCCAGAGAACCAACATTTCCGACGTGATATAATACAAAAAAATATACGTGAAGTAGATTGAACATAAAATTGGTAATTGCAGTTAAATAGATTGAATATACGTAACGGTGAATATGTTTATTGGTCCATACAAGGCAGCTCCTATTTATAGCCATTCAGATACATTCATATACTGTTCAACCTTCGCTGGAAACAGCCCATCGAGCCTGTGGCGATTAGGTTATCTGGTGATATATTTCATAAATCAAGAACTCCGTTTCCAAACCACAATTTATACCCCAGTCTTTCCTCAATGTAAACTTTTCGAAATTATAACCATATGTCTAAACTGCGCTTGAAACAATTCAGCGTACACACGCCTAGTATGTTATAAAGTATATTGGTCCTTAAAGCTACAACCGGTATTTACCCAGGACTTTCCTGAATCTAAATTTCTCCAAATTATATCCGGCCCTTGGAAAGCTATACTCAAATATGGTTCAGTCTAGATTGCATTAATACACATAAATAGATTGATACAATTATAAGATGTGTTAATGAAAATAAACAGATACGAAAGGCAGGATTGTATAATTACTTACAGTTCGGTTTACTGAGAAAATCCGACGGAGCCGTGATGAGGACTCGAACGTATGAACGTACTTACGGGCTATTTATGCCCGTGCCACCTTTTGGGTTGCTTCATCTTAACACATTCACAAGGGAGACATCTCCCGTCATGCAGGGTGCATTCGCAGCTCCACAGATCTCCAGTATCAGCTTTTGATACTGGTAATGTCTTAAAAGGGCCACCACTTACGGGCTATTCATGCCCGTGCCACCTCTTGGGTGGCTTAATCTTCATCAATCAATCAGTATGAACGTACACGTTTTAGACAACTAAAGTAAGTTAATAAATTTAAGAAAGTAAACTCAATGTACTTACATGACAACTGCATCACTCTCCCTCCGCATGCGAGCGCTTTCGTTTTCAACTGAAAAGAAAGAAAGATCAAGAATGGCTATAATAATGACCCTTCGTATGCAGGCGATGAGTCACAATAACGTGGCTGAAGTATGTTGACCAGACCACACACTAGAATTTGAAGGGACGACGACGTTTCGGTCCGTCCTGGACCATTCTCAAGTCGATTAGTCGACTTGAGAATTACTTGAGGCCATTATCAAGTCGTGATGCAATCGACTTGAGAATGGTCCAGGACGGACCGAAACGTCGTCGTCCCTTCAAATTCT